GGATGATCCCTCAATCCATGACTGGAATGATCATCTTACACCGTCACCAAAACCAGCTTCTCCATCAACGAGTGGTGACTACAGTGGAGTATGACAAGATGACACCACAATCCATGACTTGAACGACCATTTGACGCCTTAAAGATGGTCGATGCCTTTGTTTTTGGTTTCTATTTCACTATTCGGCTATTATCTTGTTATTCGTAGTATGAAGATGTTTTTAAGAAATGTGTTTCAGATGTTTTAGTTAAGATGGGTTTATGAATTATGCACCTCCTTTTGATATATGTATGTAACACTTGTTTGTGTAGGAATAGCCTCAAAAATCTTGATGGTGTTGTGCACTTTCAATGGACACAATGTTTATATTGTCAATTTTTATTCCCAATCCGAGTACAACACAAGGAAAATGTACTATCTGCAAATCTGCTAAATCTAATACAACTTCACTAGCAACAGATATATCAGGATAATAACCTAACAAACTTGATCACTAATATTTCATCAACAAAGAAAACAACCCACAACAACCATAATCTTTGATAATCTTGAATGCGAGACGTTCCAAATTTTCAATCCTTTCGCAGAGTAAACCCATCCCGTAGTTGTTTTAGCTGCGGATGAAATCTACCTCATTCGCCCACTGCCAGAAGTTGCATGCGCGACACTTGTAATACGCGCGGTGAGGATTGGATTCAGACTTCGAAATCCGAAATTCGGCAAGTGACTGTCCTCCGCAATTGGAATTCTTGGCAGCAACCCATAACACATTCGTATTAGGTTTTGAAAAAAAACGACGAGGTAAATGAGAACTTGAAGAGCTTGAAGACATGGCAAAGTTGATTTCTAGTTCTAAAATTCAAGGAGAGGGACCTTCATTTATAGCAATAATGTAGCGGGAATATAATGGAATTATTCCCGCCTTCATGGAAACCCAATTTCTAAATGCAATTGTGGGCCATGTCCAAATTATCAAACTATGTAATATCAATAGTAAGTTACGCAGCTAAACCATTTCTTTGTTCAGTTCAAGCAACTTTTATGCTCTGTTAACACAGACACAAATATAACTAACCAACTCATTTTAACACAGTCATACCCAATACAGTTACAGTTGTATTAGAAATCAATCCACAAGTATCAAAATTACTTACAGTTACATAAGTGACCTTATTATACTGAAAAAATTAAATATGCAATCGAGTTATTTTAATATTGTGAGTTTAACCAATGACTAGGTCAGTTACACAATACAAACCTCAGTTGTTTAAAAATGAGGTGCAGTTTAATATAAAATTACTAAGTGAAGAAAAGGAAGAAGAATAGAATAGGGAATATCATTTGCAATCATTTTAGGCAATGTTTATCCAAAAAAGAGGATTAATGAAAGATCAGAAATATAAATGTTATTACAACCATAACTACAAAATGTTAGTGCTTTCGGAAAACAATAATTGGAAAAAAAATTTTAAAGTTATTGACCACCCTATATAGCGGTCTATATCAACACATTAAATACGATTCATCAAGTTACTTAACACTACAACACTAAGTTAGTTGTGAAATTTTGTGTATTTTGAATCAATATGAACACAATCATTGACCACTCTATATAGCGATCTATATCAACACATTAAATAAGATTGTTGAAGTTACTTAACACTACATCACTTAGTTAGTTGTGACCTTTTGTGCAATTTGAATCAGTATAATACGAATGCTACACCTATAGGTTTGTAAGTTGTTTAGTATCGGCATCAGAAGGTTGAACACACAAGATGGAAATACATTATGAATAGAAGAATAGTGACATCGACAATCACAAGGTCATACAAAAACCTTTTGATCTTAGTAAAACCCTAAGAATATTGAATCCAACCCTACTGTAGTACAGTTATACTTTTAATATTTATTGTTAGTGCTTTAATACCCTTTCCCAATGAAATATTTTTAAACTCCAATGGGACTATAAAATCTTAGTTACACCACCTCACATTTTTTATGTCTTTGTGTGGGTGATACCCTAGTACTTCCTAATCGAACCCTAATCCCACACAGTGTATTCTTTTCAAGAATTACTTAGTTATTTATAAATAATACTCATTCGGACAAAATGGCAATGAAATTGAACCATTTCCTGTGTAATGACAATATACATTGTTGTTTAGGTGATACCCTAGTACCTCCTAATCGAACCCTACTCCCACACAGTGTCTTCTTTTCAAGAATTACTTAGTTATTTATAAATATAACTCAGTCGGACAAAATGTCAATGAAATTGAACCATTTCCTGTGTAATGAGAGTATGCATTGTTGTTTAGTTGAACAATCAAAATGAACAATTTTAGGAAAACAAAAATTAAATAAACAGGATAACGCATCTAAATTAAGCGAATTTAGAAATGACCCTTCACAAGGAGGTGTGTCGATATTATCTACAAATACTTACCACACAATATAGATGTAAATGGATAACAAGGTGTCAGGTGGGTCTAGGACTATAAGTCAAATGGAAGCCACACAAAGAACTAGCTAATAAGTACACATGTTATGAAAGTATTATCGGCATATCCAAATTTGTACTTTTTGCCAAATGTGGCTTTTTCACCTGTTGTCGTGTCGCGCCACCTTGCGTAAGATTTAAGTAGACGAGGAATTTTAAAGGGAGGAATGTTAGGCATTTAGGAATGCATAACAAGGGGTATTCATGTAATTATGCATATGTACAAACGAATAAATATTCTGATATCATTGGATGATCAAATGGTACCATTGAATATACAATGATACTATATATGCACATAATGGTATTATATATGCATTCAGTTGTACTAAATTTATGGGTAAATAGTAACACTGAGGATTTAATGGTACTATATAAACTTTCAGTGGAACAATCAGCATGTGATCCCCCATCACGTGATACGATCCGACCAAAAAATAGGTGGGGTCCACCTACATGCCTCTCTCTTCCTATCTCTGTCCTCTTTTCTCTCTCTATCATGTGTTTTTATAATATTTTAATCAATGTTATGCATTGGTAAATGCCTAACTTTCCTCATTTCTAGTTCCTCTAAGTAGACTTCATATTAATTAAAAAAAGGCCAAGTGTCGGGCCACCATCGATAGAGTTATTTACATAAACAGAAATAGATAAGAATTATGTTATCATTCAAATTGTGGAAATAGGTTATTAGTTTAGAGTAACTTGTTCGATGAAATACCAAATAATAAAATTATAATTACGCTAAAACTCAACGCCTTGTGATGTTTCAATTTTTAGACAAGTAGTGTACGACGTGGAATAAATAAACATTGACTTTGTCGCAAAAATAGTAAATATAGAAATCAATTTATTTATACCAATTACTACAAGTACAATGTATAAGCAATTCAGTGTAATGAAATGTGTTGCAGATGAAACCTATGTCCTCATTCATTGATATGTAAAAGTTATTACTAAAAGAAGTAGTAGTATCACTATCATGACTCTTTTAGCTTAGTGGTGTTGCAGTAGTTGAATTACTGGATCATAAGTAAATATCCTATCACACTAATACAAAACTGATGACTGAAACCAATGCGAGCCTCCAATGGTACTTTATTCTTGTAAGTATCACACATTAACAAGGCCTCAATTTACAACTAACTCCTTCCCAATGTGCTAAATTTCATTAGGGAGTTGTATTCCATTAAGATTACTGACCGCATTACTGGGGTAAAAATTGATACAACCTAGTCAAGACTCACTCAATAAAAATTCATTATTGATGCGTTATGAGTCTGTAACCAATCTTATAGAAAGTTTATGCAAGCAGAATTTATGTGAGTTGTCAACATTGCAATGCAATCCACAAATTATGATAATAATAGTTACTTAGATACTGGAATTTGTCACATGAAATAAAATAAAGGGACTTTGTAACAAATTAAGGAACAATACTTAACGAGTCAATATAAAACATTAGTGTTTTGATATGTACAGCAAAAGTACAGCAAAATACCCAACATAATGTATCATTAAAAATGTTGGGCAACCAATATGACAGATTCCCATTTACATAAATGATTTCTTTACAAAAAATTTAGGTACTCGTTCAATTCACCTTTCCATCAATTCAACTGTCATAATAATAAAAAAGTAATCAATTAGTTTCTTACTCCATCATTTACGCTTCCAAAAAAGGGTGAACAACACAAATTTAGTTCACCATATTAACAACTGCTACGACCTACTGCATAGTCCCCGGGTTAAATGTGGAAGGGGATGGTTGCGTTGGAGATTGTTGGCTACCATTTTGGGAAAACTGTAGTTGAGTAGCAGCTTTTTGGAACCAACCTTGGGTAGACTTTGGCGTTGGGGGTTTTGGAGCAATTGGTCTGAACATAGGCCTCCCACCAGCTAGGGAACAAGCTGAGGACCGAGGGGTGGGAGGGGAGTTGGGAATTGCTGCCCCTACAGCTCCTGCATTCATAGGCCTGTATTGGGTGTAGAAATAAGGTAAAAAAACCGGGCCGATACGGGGCTTGACGATCAGTCTCAGACCCTGCAACATGACCTGCCCCAATCGGGCCTCCGGAAACACCAGTGAAGTAGCCAATAGATCCATCACCATCAACCATCTGAATACCTCCTACAGATTGGGGCCAATATGGGAAGTAAAAACCCTGGTCCATGGACAACAAAAGTTCAAATTCATTTGACATGCAAGGTTGATTAACAGAAACAAATTAACAAAAAAAATTGAACAATAGGGAGATTACTCACCTGGCTGTTGGGGGGAGTGCTAAATTGTTGTTGTACACAATTTTTTTGACTAGAAGTCTTTCGAGTACTGGTACTCCTTCCACCCTTCTTCGATCTTCTTCTCAATACAGGATGGGAATCGGACATCCGTTGTTCGATGAGGTGGCTTTTTCGGTATAGGAGGATCTTTGGGTATCTCCGAACAACTTCCTTGCCTCTGGATGGATGGGGTAATGGGTGTTCCATTTTCACATCAACCCCCATTGTACTCAGCCTTTTTGTTAATCATATCTACCATCTCATTCACTTGAATCTCAAGTAACTGAAGCGTATCAAGAACAAGTTTCGTTGTTTCTTTGCGGAAGGACGACTTAGAGCAAACACAATTAAACTTAACCATCATCTTATCAAACCTACAAACCTCCTCTGTCTTACTTGGATCATGATAACCAACCTTGACACGGGTGTACGACCTTATCACATCTTTCCTCCACCGCTTCAAGATGAACTTCTCTGGAATATCCAAGTGGTCATGCAACTCATAAACCTTAATTATGTGACGACAGATAATTCCATGACAGTCGAAGTGCTTACATTCACAAGAAGCATCCTTGGTTACAATGTCAAAAGTAACCACATATCTACGCTTACGCTTAGACGGTATCTCTTTCTTTGAATTTTGGGGATTGTATCAAACTCTGTCCTCAATTACATGCTCAAGCACCTGCTCAAAAACTTGCCTTCTCTCAATACCACTAACATACATCATACGTGTACATTCACGCTGAACTTCTTTGAATTTTGCATCAGTGTAAATCTGTTAGAAGAGTAGCTCAGCGGGAAAGTCGATGCACGCCTTCCTAACATATCTAGCGTTGTTGTCATCAGTCTTCTTTTCTGTTGATGCTCTTACCGAGAGCGCTTCTTCATACCGCTCCACGAATTCATGTAATAAGGTGTGCTTGCTCAAATACCCGTCAAAAAAGCTATGAATACTTTCCACCCTCTGGGTGGTTTTCATCCCTGCCCAGAACAAATGTTTCACAAAGGCGGGAACCCACATAGCCCTTTCAAACAACCCTAACATACACCATTGCAGCCAAACACCCAATCAGAAATAATCACAATGAGGGGTCATTGAACCTAGTAAATTTTTACCCGGAAATAAAAAATAACACAAAATTATACATTAGTCTATATTTCATCCTAATCAATCACCACCAAAATCAACATTAAAAGGCAAGAGAAATACATAAAACATCTACATGAAAAAAATAATATACAATCACTTTAAGACCATACCTGCCAGCGACTCATCATCATCAACTTCATACTTCTTAATTACCTCAGGCCACCATTGTTCGAATTTCTAACAGTCAAGGCTGTTATAGACAGCTCGGTGCAGTCCCTCCTTCAACTCAGGGTAATAAATGCGCTTGCTTAACTTCTGAGAGAACTTGTTGAGAATGTGCCAAATGCACCATCTATGTTTCGTACCCTTCATAACCGCCTTCAATGCCTTCTTCATTGCTGGATCTTGGTCCGTTAGAATCCCAATAGGAGATTTATCACCCATACATCTAAGCCAACTTGAAAATACCCATTCAAAAGTCTCGGCAGTCTCACGACTAACAAGAGCACAACCAAGCAGAATGGTCTGCCCATGGTGATTGACACCAACAAAATTGCAGAAAGGAAGCTTATACTCGTTAGTCAAATACGTAGAATCAAAGACAACGACGTCACCAAACTCCTCGTACGCCGCCCTACTTCTAGCATCAACCCATAGAACATCTTTCAACCAACCGTCTTCATCAACTCGATATGTATGAAAGAATTTATCATTGTCCTCAAGCATCCTCTTAAAGTAGTTAAACATAACTTTTGCATCCCCTTGTTCAAAAACAAGTTTCTTCTGCTTCGCAACTTCAGCATGTAAATCCTTCTGCTCAAACGACATATCCTCCAACCCATTCCTCTGCTTTGCCATACTTCTATATATATTAGCCACAGGAACCCCAGCCTTTCGTTCAATAAACAACTGCCGCACAAGATGAGGATTATCCACCAAAAATTTCTTCCTAAACCTACTAATGTTCTTTGATTTTCCAGGAGTAGGATTATGCCCAACATGTGTCAAATGGGCCTTATCAATAACACAGTGCAATCACATTTCTTCGACTTGCGTTTAGGACACAAGTCTTCATCTTCACTGATTTGAGCATCAGACACCAACCTTGGTTCAAGCTTTTTCCTCTTCCGCACAGTCTTACCAAAACATTCACAAGTCCACCTGCAATTACGCTTCATACCTTTTCCAGACTTAGCCCCACTAGCCCTCATAACACCAAACCCCTGCTGCTGGCCATAATTACGAAAATACTCATCAACCTCCAACATAGAAGCAAACACCATTTCTATAGCAGAAGGCGGGAGAGGTACATCCAACTCCAATTCCACGGGCTCTTCTATCTCAACACTAACTAAAACATTGCTCTTACCTTTCTTTGGAGTCCTAAAAGACTCCTCCCCAACAACAACCTACAATACACATTTCATACAACAATCATCAATCTCACCTCAATTTACCTATTTATACCAACATTTAAAAAAAATTTATCCACAATTTACCACTTTTCTATACAACCATAATTCACACCATTCTACAAAACTGTCATCAACATAACAATATACTATGCAAAACATTCAAATAACTAAGTGAGTTAACACAGAGATTCATATACATATACGAAGAATCAACCTATGAAAACACCAAATTACTCTCTTACTCACAAATATATCAAATACAACAATCAACCCAGAATTTTAAACACCCTATTTACATAATATCAATAATTTAAAAGGCTAATATTTAATTATCAACCATTACTCATACAAATTGCAAAACCCTAATTTAAAACAAAAATCGCAAATTCCTTACCTGATTTAACAAGGCCTCCAACGCCGCAGCACCGCCATCACCCACGTCATCATCAATAACTACGGCCCCATCAACGGCTTCGGCATCAACGCTGACTCCATACTCACCACCATGGTACTTTTCAAGGTCCTTAGTTGTTTCAAAATACTCCATCATCCAAGTGCCAACTCTTCTAATTCATTAAATTGTAGCGAAGACTAGAACATAAAATGTGGTAGGTTCCCCAAAATTGTGGAACCTTGCCTCATTGCCAAGGTCGGGGAGGAACTCAATTTGAACAAAAGTACAAGCACAGAGCAACAAATTTTGGTGGGGATTAATGGAATGTTCCAGTTAGACAAAAACAGATATGTAAAGTGGGGTTACTCAACATAATTTTTTAATCCTTCAAATGGTCCCACACCATTACAAGTTTTACTGTACAATTACATTTTCCCTCCAAATTGCAAAACCGTTACAATAAAAGTTGCTACTTATTTACAACAATGCCATGTATGTATTTCTATATACATAACTAACCTCCTTTAGTAATTCCTCTAAAATGACTATCTTGCCATTAATGAAAAGAAAGAAGGAAAGGTTTTAGCAAGGACATTTTTGTAATATTGTTATTTAATCCCTACATATTCCCACTCAACAACCAAACAAAGACTTGGCTTATTTTTATGAATTCCCATCAATTTATTCCCAATCCCCATCCCACACTCTAATCTCCAAACTCCCATTCCCACATGCCAAACGCCCCGTTAATGTAATACGAAGTACACCGCATTATAAGGCCCTATTCTCTTCACCTTAGAAAAATACGACCTCCGTTTTTTTTAGTTGACACATTTTCACTTTAGCACTGTTCACACACCTCTCTTTGACTATGTTTTATGATTTATATGTGAAAAAAATATAGTTAAATGAGATCTTATTAGATTTGATACAATTTATATTTTCAAAATATCAATTTTTTATAATTTTTCTTATCGGTAATTAAAGATATTAATTATTAAATTTGTGCATTGGCAAATGTGACTAAAGAAACGTGTGAAGTAAAAGGAACCGGAGGAAGTACTATTCATAGTTCAGTAAAAAAAAAATAAGTTTGATTCAATTAAAAAAAAATTAAAGTTACATTTAAAAAATAATAATGTATTAAGTTTAACAAAAATAAGGCAAATTAAACTAAGCCTAATTATCTAAAGTCTTATGTCGACTTTATTAAAACTCAAGGCACTACATGCTATGTGGCATCCTTACGTTGGCATGACAGGACACTGTGGTAGGGAATATTTCAAGCATCCCAAACTTGAATCCCACTGTGATCATACACTTAAGCATGGTGGCGTCCAAAGGGAAGAAAGCTAGAGTAAAAGAGTCGCCAACAAGTTTTAGGAACTTGTAAACCGTTCACAGGGTGAAGGTTACACCCCTTCACGATCCATGAGATCGCTAACTCCATAGTGGTCTGGAATCATGACTGGATATTCGAGGATGAAGGTACGAATCCAACCTAAAAGTGATTGAACTCGCCCTAAAAATAGACCTCTACTTTATTCTTCTCAAATTCATGTGCGCTTTTTACTAACATGCAATCATTAGGTTAACCCTAAACATGTTTAATCTATGTTGGTTGAATATTAATGCACAAACAAATCTATTACTGGTGATCACTTGAATTAAAATCATATTAGCCTAAACCAGATTATTAATTATCTTTTAAGGCGTGATTTCAAGTACAAATTCCCTTTAAACCTGCACAAAAGGCGTGATAAAGCAATAAGGGGCCGTTTGGTTCGCACGAGGGAATCGGAATGGAATGAACAAAGGGAAAGGAGAAGAATGGAATGAAAATACCCTTTTTTTGCTTTGTTGTTTTTTTTTAAACAAAGGGAACCAATCCCCCCACTACACCACCACCACCACCACCACCACACCACCACACATTTCATCTTTCTCAGCCACCAAACTCCTCATCGACCATCCCCTGCCCCTCGCCGGCTCTCCCCCTCCCCTCGCCGCCCTTCCCCTCCCCTCGTCGTCGCTAGCCGCGTGAGCCACGACCTCCCCTCCCCCGCCTCTCCTCCCCGCAAAACCCTAGCCCCGATCTCCCTTGACCCCGAAAACCTCCTAGCAGCTAGGGTTTCGAGGGTGGTGGGAGGGCTGGGCGGCGATTTTCGGGGTCAAGGGAGATCGGGACTAGGGTTTTGCGGGCTAGGGGAGGTTTTTTCGGGGGGGGGAGGTCGGCGAGGCTCGAGGGAGGGGAGGGAGGTGGTCGGGGAGGGGCGGCGGTGGTGATGTGGTGGTGTGAAGGTGGGTAGGGAATGAGAATGGAAATACCTAGGGGGTGGGGAATGAAGTTGGAAGGATTTGGGGTAATGGGGAGGGTAAAGGGAATGAATAAAAGTGCTAAACAAACATCAACAAAGGGAATCAGGCCAGTTGATTCCCATTCCCTTTCCTGATTACCCCCAACCAAACGCCCCTAACAATAATATACATCAAGCAACATAATAATATTAGACACAACAAATCATCATCATCAGTAACTCAATAAAGCATAATAATATTAGTAAGATCTTAGGCATGATACTAACATGATTAATAACAAACCCTAGCATGTCACTAAACATTAAAGATCAAAGATTTAGCCCTAACGTGATATTAACATGAAATTAGAAAGCATAAGAAGCACCCTAAATATGATACTAGAAAGCATTAAAAATATCCTAAAATGATACTAGAAATTAATAAAATAATTTAAGCATGCCTTCTACAAGAATAGAGCAATAAAATTACTCACTTTGATGCCTCGTATCTCTTTCTAATAACAAAATACACACGTTAGTAAACTTCAATAAAATATTAAATCAAACAATTAAACTAAATAATTGAAAAGAGTTTAGAAATTGGATTTGGGGTCCAAACCCTCAGAAAGTATCAACCTTTCACGTCTATGGCGAAGGCAACTTCGAGCTTAGCTAGGTGTGTCTAGAACTAATAAATGCGGTATGGTGTTTGTAAAAGGCTAGCTAAAAAGCATGAGGGAGAAAGAATAAGCTATATGCTTAAAAGAGAGAAGAGAGAGAAGAGAGAGAATTGATGATTATTGTAGATCAAGCTTGTTGATGATTTGTAAAAAGGGAGATGTGGCTGCTATTTATAGAAAAAATAGTCCGAAAATCGATAGAAAAGATTTAGAATGAATTTAAATCGAAATAAAATTGGTTCTGTCACAAAGCTGTCGCCGTGCGACAGAGCTTGTCATCTAGCGCTGGTTAAAAGATAAAACGCGCTTGTACGGAATCCTTTTTATAATATAATTAAGTAATTAGAATTCGCGTTAAACAGTTTTAAGATCAAATTTATCATAAAACACTTATTTTATTACAAATAAAACTCTTAAGAATATAATTATCAATCCTAATTCCATTATAATTTAAAAGAACCTTCTAGATTATTCTAGAAGACTAAAGTCAATCCTAAAAACTTTAGGAATAATAATTGATAGGCCCTCCACTAGATCATTGAGCCATATATAAAATCATTTTGGGCCCAACTTAGTATTTTGGCAATAACTTCCTCATTATTTATCGGAATTGAGCTTATAATATATTGTTGGAAAGCTCTTTTCGAGCCCAATCCAACAACACTAATACTGAACTCATATCATGGACCAAACTAAATTGGACTGGATATTTTCATAAATAGAGTGGATTTTCGAAAACAGAAAGAATGAGTTTTAATAAAAGGATTTTTTTTTTGTCCAAAACTACCTTTATTTGACAACTTTTTGTCCAACACTACCTTATAATTTTTTTTTTGTCCACAAATACCCTTAAAATGAAATTTCATTGTTGACCACTACCTAAATTTTTTTTCCAGACGTTGACCTTAATATTCAGGTCACTTAAAAGACATGTGCAGGGCACATGTTTTATTTTTTTTTAATGATTTTGTTAATATTTCCCCCATTTTTTTTCCTTTTCTCTCTCTTCCACAAACTTGATACTCCATCCCTCTCAAATCTCAATACTCCATTCCCCTTAAAAATCCACACT